TCAGGGATTGTGATTCTCAAAAGTGGAGAAAAGTATAAATATTTTGAAAGTTCTTGGTTTATCATGTTAAATGGCTTTCTTAAAATATTGTATGGATACAGGATATGCCAACAGAAAGAGTACTTATTTCACATTTCCTGTGGTTTTCCCCATGAAAAAAGTACATTGCTGTTATTAAATGCCAGATCTTCATTTACTTAACAAGCATTTCATTGTTTTCTTCTGGGGCTTTTGTGTTCTCATTCTTTTCACATTTTTGGCTTTGCTATCTGTGGTTGTGATGGTTTTGATCATCAACTTGGAGATTTAGAACCACCAAGGAGGGGCCACTTTGGGGTGTTTCCAGAAGAGATTAACTGAAGAGTAAAGCTTCATTCTCAGAGTGGGTGGCACCTTCTAATGAGGGTGGCCAAAATAGGAAGAGGTTCTAGGAAAATGCAGTGTCACCTGCCTGCCTTTGGTTCTTCCTAAGCAAGTTTGTCTATTACATTGCTGACATTTCCCACTGACATCAGGCACAAGCTTCTTTGCTTTCCAATGTGGACTGAAAATCAGAGACTGTCCTGGCCTTCAGGGTCAGATTGGTCCTGGTAAGGCCTCTAGCTTCATGGATGTATCATTTATCAAATTCTCAGTCCCAAGTCTCTCTAGTTTATAAATGGTCATTGTTCAACATTAATTAAAGATAATGGACTAATTTGTTAAGGTGGTATTGTCTAAAGCTATCTAATACTCCCTCTCTGCTTTTTTTGTAGACCATGCCTAATACAGATTTTGGTACTATGAATGGTTCCAGAGGAACAATACTAACTTTAAGGATAGGTTTCTCTAAAATGCCTGGTGAAATCTTGGAACTAGCTTTCTAATTCTGTTACACCCAAAGACTTTCTGGTAGTATGTTAGTGTTAATTGTCAACTTGACAGGATCTAGAATCACTCAGGTGACAGGTCTCTGACTTACCTTCAAGGAAATATCTAGGGTAGATTAGCTTCTGAGGGGGTTGTCTTGGTTAGCATCATTGAGGTAAGAAAGTCAGCTCACTGTGGGTGGCACCATTCCCTAGGTTGGGGTCCCAGAATGCATAAAAATTTAAGAAGTGAACTGAATAAAAAACAAGTATTCACTGTTGCCTGCTTTCTGATTGCAGATTCTACTGGATCAGTGGCCTTGGGTTCCTGATGCTTTGCCTTCCTTATAACTTCTTGCTTGGGTTGCTTTTGTCAGGTATTTTATCATATCAAGAGAAAATTGGTACCTACAAGTGGAACTATTGGTTTGATAAATCTTGCCGTGTGGATCTCAACCATTGCAACCGGTTTGTGGGAGTAATGTGGAAGAGTTTGGAACATGAGGCTAGAGAAACATTTACGTGATGTAAATAGAGCATAATGGACCATTCTGTGGGAGCTCAGAAGATAAAATGTTGGGAGAAATTGGACTACGGAAGCCCACCTCATGAGATATATGAGAGGAACTAAGACTCTATTAGAAACTGGAATAGGAGTCATTTGTGTGCTTGACTATGAATTTGTTATGATTCTACCTCTGTCTTGAGAACTCTCAATACAGCAGCACATTCAGTGTAGGCAGAGTTTCTCAGTCAGTAGTTTAGTTTGGTTACTAGCTAACTCTTACATTGTAAAATAACCCATATTTCTTATCTACATTCTGCCACATGGCTGTACCTTCTTTCAACACTGCACATTCATTTTGCTCCTCCCTGTGTCTCTCTCAACTCCCGAGACTTCTCCCTTCTTTCTTCCAGCATCTTCTGTCTGGCTCTCCTGCCTATGCTTCCCGCCTATGTACTGACTGGTCAGCTCTTACATTAAATCAGTCACAAGGTGCTTTGGAAAAGATACAACTTCACAGTGTACAAAATAGTATTCCATAACATTTACCCTTTCTGTCTAATTAGAAAAGAAGGTTTTAACTCAACAAAGTAAAACTATATATAATAAAAAACAGTTATCAAGTAAGAATTACAGTTACAATATCCAATCCATTTGTGTTTGGCAAAATTGGAGAAGAGACTCTTGTCTATCTTATCTTTGTGAGTCCAGAAGTTTTATACCTAATTTACTTTTTATCATAACTAAGGAAAACTATAAATTATTTAGTCTTTAACTCCATCAAAGACCCCAGAAGGCTGAAATGTTACCTTATGACAGGGACGTCTGGGTACCTGAACAGTCACTCAAAGTTCTTCTGTAACATTGGGGCATCCAATTTTGGCCTACAGGCCTAGTATTTCTGACAGATATTTTTGAGAAGCAGGGTACTTTGAAGAACTATCTTACCTTATCTTGGAAAAGATTGGCAGTCATTTTCTTTTGTGTCTTGCTGATCCAATTTAGACAGTATATTGTCAGCAATTAAGGCAAGGGAAGTTTCTTTGACCAAATGGTTAGTTTTTTGCCATAAAGAAAAAAATTCCATATGAAGTTTCTTTGATGCCCATTATCCTCTTTTGAAGTAAATTGATGTTATCAGAAGCAGCTATGTCTCACTGTTATGAAAAGCCTCAGGCTATTAAAAATATTAAATGCTATATTATGTAGGTCTTTGAAATGTTTGAAGACCATCTATCTATCTAAATATATGTGTGCATGAACTTGAAAACATACTTAACTAGTCTATAATTAATATGACTATTAATATGTATTTCTTATATATTACATTTCTTAAATATATATTACATTTTTAAATGACCTGCATAAGCACAATACCCCAAACAAGAGTAGAAACATACATACAGATAACAAAATTCACTAATTTGTATTAGGAAACAAAAATCCATACCAATGAAAAATATTTTGAGATTAATAGTTGGTGTAGGAGGGTCTTCTTTCTATGTGTTGCTTTCATTGGTCAAATAAAGAAACTGCCTTGACTTTTTGATAGGACAGAATTTAGATAGGTGAAGTAGACCGAATAGAATTCTGGGAGGAAGAAGGTAGTGTGGCAGTTGCCATGACTTTTCTCTCTGAGACAGATGCTGTTTAGACTCATGCCGGTAAGCCATAGTCAAGTGGCGATAGAGATTATTAGAAATGGGTTGAATTAATATGTGGGAGTTAGCCAATAAGAGGCTAGAACTAATGGGCCAGGTAGTGTTTAAATGAAAATAATTCGTGTGTTGTTATTTCGGGGTATAAGCTAGCCAGGCAGCCGGGAACAGGTTGGTGGAAAGCAGCCCACTGCTCCAATCACAACAGAGAGTGGTGCAGAAGAATTGTCTGTATTCTGCCAATCATGTTTTAAATAAATGCTGATTGACCAGGTAGGAAGTATAGGTGGGTCAACCAGACAGAAGGTAGAGGCAGGGCGATGAGAATGGGAGTATTCTGGGAAGCAGGAAGCTCCCTCTGCAGTTCTTCCCAGATCACCAAAGAAGCAAGATGTGAGCTGCCTCGCTGAGAAAGGTATCGAGCCATGTGGCTAACATAGATCAGAATAATGGGTTAATATAAGCTACACGAGCTAATAAGTAGCCTGATCTAATGGTCCAATCAGTTTTATAATCTTATGGAGACCTCTGTGTGATTTTCTCTGGGACTAAATAGCTGAGGGACCGGGCAGGACAGAAACTCCAATGAGCCCGGCCTTCATGTTACAACTAGTTGTTTTTGTGGATTAAAGTAGACTCAATAATCTATCCTTTTATCTCATCATTTCAGATCATATTCCCCTTTTTTCCATTAGAAAGAGATCTTTGACTCTAATTCTTTTATTTAGTTCTTTTTTCTGATTATGATCAATAACAACTTGCAACTAACTCCTAAAATATAAGAAACATCCATAAGCCAAATTTTGGAACTGTCAGTGTGTTTTTTCTCTAGACTGCTTCCTGTTGTCTGTGGGTGCTGGCATCTTCAGAAGAACCTTGAGAAAATCAGGATGATTGTTCGGTCCTGACTGGAGTATTTTGTGAAACCAAATTATCTCAGCCAGCAACCTTAAAGCTCTTCTGGATGCTGGATCACTTGAACCATTCATTTTTATTGGTTTCTTGTCCTCCTGCTCTGAAAATACATAAACTTTTAAAGGTAACATACTGTTCTTTATTAATACAAATATAGACTGTGCATTGTACAGAAGTTTGTCAAAGATGATTTTATTTCTTATGTTTAAGTAGCTAAAATAGAAATCACATGTTTTATAGTTCTTTTAGGTTTATTTTTGCTTAATGTTTGTAGTCAGGATTTTCAGGGGCTCTTCCCCAATCAATCCTGATCCATACTAACCTGGAACAAATCCATAACTTCTCACCTCCTGTGGAAATAAAAGCATAATCTCTTCCCCAAAGTAGCATATTGTTTGACTTCCATTTTGAAGTCAAGACATTTTTAAAGCATATAGGTTGGTTTAATCCAGAAGTTTTCATAACTCAGTGCTGTTTCTTTATTAGCAATCAGAAAATCTAGAGAAAACAAATAACATACATAATCTAGATTCTGTGTATTTTCCATCTTTACATGGCTTTTTGTATGTTTTGCTCAATTCCTTTTTTAAGCACTTTGCTATTATTTTAAACTATTTTTTAATCTATGGCTATCTCTACTCTTCCCCTTTTCCCTTTTCTCTCCCAAGTCTATGCATATTTTAAAACTCAGCCCATTTAGAGTTTTTTTTGGGAGGGGATGTCTGATTTTGTCTTTACTGAGCATCTATAATTTTTCATTACATGTGATGAATATAAAACTGCTGTGTCAGATCGCACTGGTGTAGCTTTGCTTGTGCATGGTGGTAGGGACTTGTGACTGGTGCCCAGCAGCTGTCTCTTTCCACAGGCAGCTGCTGGGAGACGTATCTCAGTACTGCAGCTGGCACGAGACACATGAGACTAGAAATCTCTACTTGGTTTTGTTTTTGTGTTTTTAGAACCTTTTTAAAGCTTTTTCAGGTTTTTTGTGGATGTAGGTGTCCCACATTGGGTGACATATGAAAGTGCAGTCATGTGGCCGAGGGCTGATAAAAAATATGGATTAAGGCTTGAGCGGGTCTCCTTAGCGGCTGGTGGCGGGGATACGTCCTTGCTCGAGCTCGTCGACTGTGGCGTCTGCCTGATCGCACCAACTCCAAGACTTGGAAATATTGGACATCTAATTGACTCCAAATTGTAAGCCACAGGATGAGTACTCACAGGGCATGAGAGATTGAGAACTTTCAGCCTCCCCATAAACCTTGGTGTATATCACTTACTTTTCTGTGGATTGAAGCCAGAGAGCACAATGAGTAGAAGAAATCCTCAAAGAAAGCGGCGTGGTGGAACAGTAAGTTCTAGACAAGCCCAGAAGTGAACTCAGGAAACAACTTCAACCCCTGAGATTTCCTTGGAAACAGAACCCATAGAACTCGTGGAAACTGCTGGTGATGAAATCGTGGACCTCACCTGTGAATCTCTAGAGCCTGTCGTTGTGGACCTCACTCACAATGACTCTGTTGTGATTGTTGACGAAAGGAGAAGGCCAAGAAGAAATGGGAGGAGGTTACGCCAAGATCATGCTGACAGCTGTGTGGTGAGCAGTGATGATGAGGAACTGTCTAGGGACAGAGATGTATATGTGACTACCCATACTCCTCGAAGCGCCAGGGATGAAGGAGCTACAGGACTCAGGCCCTCAGGTACTGTCAGTTGTTCAATCTGCATGGATGGATACTCTGAGATTGTGCAGAACGGGCGCCTCATTGTTTCTACAGAATGTGGCCACGTCTTCTGTAGCCAGTGCCTCCGTGATTCCCTTAAGACCTATTTGACAAGAACTTTAAGTCTTTGAAGAAAGAAATTGAGGAGGATACCAGAAAATGGAAAGACCTCCCCTGCTCTTGGATTGGGAGAATCAACATAGTAAAAATGGCAATTCTACCAAAAGCAATCTATAGATTCAATGCAATCCCCATCAAAATCCCATCAAACTTCTTCACAGACCTTGAGAGAACAATAATCAAGTTTATATGGCAAAACAAAAAACCCAGGATAGCCAAAACAATCTTATACAATAAAAGAACTTCTGGAGGCATTACCATCCCTGACTTCAAACTCTATTATAGAGCTACAGTATTGAAAACAGCTTGGTATTGGCATAAGAACAGAGAAGTCGACCTATGGAATCGAATAGAAGACCCAGATATTAACCCACAAACTTATGAACACCTAATTTTCGACAAGGGAGCTAAAGGTATACAATGGAAGAAGGAAAGCATCTTTAACAAATGGTGCTGGCATAACTGGATGTCAACCTGTAAAAAAATGAAAGTAGATCCATATCTATCACCATGCACAAAAATCAAGTCCAAATGGATTAAAGACATCAACATTAATTCGTCCACTTTGAACCGGATAGAAGAGAAAGTGAGAAGTAGTCTACAAGATATAGGCACAGGAGGCCTCTTCCTAAGTAGGACCCCAGCAGCAAAGACAATAAGAGAAACAATGAATAATGGGATCTACTGAAACTGGGAAGCTTCTGTAAAGCAAAGGACACTGTCAGTAGGACAAAAAGGCTGCCTTCTGACTGGGAGAAGATCTTCACCAACCCCTCATCAGACAAAGGTCTGATCTCCAAAATATACAAAGAACTCAAGAAACTAGGCACTAAAACTCTAATTAACCCAATTAAAAAATGGGGTACTGAACTTAACAGAGAATTCACAACAGATGAACTTCGAATGGCCAGAAGACACTTAAGGTCATGCTCAACCTCCTTAGCGATCAGGGAAATGCAAATCAAAACCACTTTGAGATATCATCTTACACCTGTCAGAATAGCTAAAGTCAAAAACACCAACGATAGCCTATGCTGGAGAGGATGTGGGGTGAGGGGAACACTCATCCATTGTTGGTGGGAATGCAAACTCGTGCAGCCACTGTGGAAATCAGTGTGGCGGTTTCTCAGGAAACTGGGAGTCAACCTCCCTCAGGACCCAGCAATTCTACTCTTGGGAATATACCCTAAAGATTCCCTAACATACTACAAAAGCATTTGTTCTACTATGTTCATAGCAGCACTATTTGTAATAGCCAGAACCTGGAAACAGCCTAGGTGCCCCTCAATAGAAGAATGGTTAAAAAAGGTGTGGAACATATACACATTAGAGTTCTACTCAGCGGTAAAAAACAATGACATCTTGAATTTTGCATGCAAATGGATGGAAATAGAAAACGCTTTACTGAGTGAGGTAAGCCAGACCCAAAAAGAGGAACACGGTATGTATTCACTCATAAGTGGATTCTAACCATAATTAAAGGTCTTTGAGCCTATTATTCGTGATCCTAGAGAAGCTAAATAAGAAGATGAACCTGATGAAGATTATTTAGCAATCCACCAGGAGGTAGGAAATAGACAAGAGTCCCAGGTAACCTCGGGTGCATGGGGGGGGTGGGAGGATTGATGGAAGGGGAGAGGGTTAGAGAGAAGGGAGTAGGGGAGGAGCGGGGAAAGCTCGGTGGCCGGGGGGGGGGGGGAGGGAGGAAGGATGAATATGGGATCAGGGAAGAATATATTTCAACTAAGGGAGTCATTTTAGGGTTTACAGGAGACTTGATTATATATGGGATCCCAGGTCCAAGGAGAGATCCCCCAGATTGTTCTCTGGACAGAGGAGAGGGTGCCTGAATCGGCCGCGGCCCATAACCATACTGATGTATATTTTGCTTATCACCATAGATCCTTCATCTGGCGAAGGACGATGATACAGTCGGAGACCCACATTGGAGCATCGGACTGAGCCCCCGTGGTCCAAATGAGGAGCAGAAGGAGGAAGAACATGAAAAACGAAATCAGTACTGCGAGGGATGCTATCACCCACTGATAGAAGGGAACGGATCTAATGAGAGTTTACCAAGGCCAGTTGGACTGGGACTGAACGAGGAGGTGATCTAACCAGATTCTAGGAATTTGGCCGGATTCTCTGACTGTGGCTGGCCCGAAGTCTTTCTGAAAAGCCATTGACTATGATACTGAGACCTGTTTCCTCTGCATATACTGGATTTTGGGGATCCAGTCTGTTTGGACACTCACCTTCCTGGACCTGGAGGGAGGGGGAGGGAACTGGAACTTCCCACAGGGCAGGAAACCCTGACTGCCCTAAGGGACGAAGAGGGAGGAGGAGAGGGAGTGGGGGGAGTGGGAGGGTGTTGGGAAGAGGGGCGGAAATGGAAACTTTTATAATTTAATAAAATTTACTTAAAAAAATAAATAAAAAAATAAAATAAAAAAAATATAAAAAAAAGAATGCTAACACTTGCCCAACTTGTAGGAAAAAGATCAACCATAAACGGTACCACCCCATTTATATATGAAATGTTCAGAACTGCTCAGGATAGACCAATGGACAGACAGCCAGACTGGGCTTTCTGCATGGTATCTGCCTCCAGTTTCCTGAGCTAAAAATGACTTTCAAAAATCAATGTCTGATGTAAAATGCTCTTTTGTTTTCCAACCCCTTAGATCTTTTTGTTTTCTCCAGTTTGATGCTATCGAGTGGGATCCTCCCAGGTCAGCTTAGCATCTTTGCTCCTGGGTATTCTGAGCTGGGAGTAGGGGAAAAGGAGTCAGGCACATTGGAGTTTGAGTATTGTGGCTCCAGCCTCTTTATGGAGCTTACATGTTGGCCAAGAAGTTTCCCTGTTGGGAAAGTTTGCCCCAACTCTTCTGGGTACAGAACCTTTCCAAGGTATCTGCCAGTTAGCTATTCTGCCTGCCACACAGTGACCTGGCCAGACATAGTCCATCCAACCCAAGGATCCCAGTACAGAAGCCGGCCCTGAAAAGCCCTGCTGGTGGACTTTTATTTTTCTTTGGAGAGCAGAGGTGATCTGTGATTCTACCTGTACCTTCTCATTGATGTGCAGTGTTTTCTGCAAATCAAGAGACCCTCTGCAGGGCAGCCATGTTTCCTAAGAATGAGAAAGTGCAATAAAGCCTGTTCTTCACCTGCTCTTCAGCAATCCGGAAGATGTGGCACTGCTGGTGTCCTCAGCCCAGTGTTGCCTATGGGAGCAGTGCCCATCGCATCCCATCTCTGTTCACCAACTGTTCTCAGGAACCCTACCCATGCTCCAAAGTTCTTTGCCTGGCCCAGAACATTCAAGGCCAGTAGGACAAGGAAGTTTTTGAATGTCCTCTCTTTTCTGCTATGTCCTGTTTTGTCAACAGTGCTCTCCAACCCTCAGTTTTTCAGTTCCCACTGCCTAATGTCTGCCCAAGCATAGATACCAGGAGGTGGTAGCAGTAACAGTGGCCTTATCAGCTGTTCACTTCCATGCTTTTACCCAAGTCACTGTTGCCCGTGTTTCAGAGAGTCGCCTACTCAGCCTGCCACTACCCTGGCTTTCCCACAGCTCTTGAGTAGATCGATATTTCCAAAGCTGTTCTTCTGGCCAATTGGGCTTCGATCCTCTGGACTTTTGACTGCTTTGACGGATTTGATCAGCAAAGCATGGTGCCTCTTCCTCCCCGTGGGACCACATAACAATCCCTGCTCCACTCCATATGTGTGGGAGCCTCTGGTGCTCTCTCGGAGGCAGTGAAGTGGTAAATTGCCCCTGGGGACACAAGGCACTGGGTGGCTCATAGAGGATAGGCCTTCAGTGCCAGCCTGCCTCCACCTCCATGCTATTTCCTCAGAGGGTTTCAAGCCAAACCAATAGCCTTTTTGTGTGAAACATCCTTGAGGTGGGAAAGGGACCACTGGAGCTTTGCTAGCAATAACTGACTTTCAGTTTACTATTCTGATGGAGCAGGGACTCAGCACAGAACTCACTTTAAATGGAGCTGAAGGAGTGTCCCTCCTCTATGTGAAAAGAAGATAGTTTTATTCTTTACTCTGACTTTTTAAACTGTTTGACTTCCAGTTAGTTTTAATGAGAGTAGTAATTTTTTTACATGGACTCAGAGGGTAGGAGCATTAGCTCTCATCATTGTAATGTGTGGAGTGTGCCCTCCCCTTGGATGTCACAGCCATTGAGTTCCCTATGGGCCTCATGGACTTGCTCTTGTTAGTTCTAATGATAGCCAGACTTAAAGGAGCCAAGGTGACCATGCAGCCAGTTCACCGGTAAATATGGTGACACCCACTTAAAAATTCATTTTCTCCTTAAAGACGGTTTATGAAGTTGATCATAAAAGTTCTATTACTTCATCCTAAATTAAATTGAGAAAAATATGTGTTATAGTTCTACTAATCAGAAGCTGAATTAATAGGAAAAGGTTGGTATAGAAAAATCCCTTTCCTTTTTCCTTAATGTATATAGTTTAACTCTTTGTTACATTTAAACTATGCTCATGGATATCAGTCTGTTTTGGACTCCTGCTAGTGTTAAAGATGGAAATAAAGCAATTTGAACCAAAAAAAAATATGAATTAACTTAAAATGTTAGAGTTAGCTAGTAACAAGTCTGAGCTATCGACTGAGCATTTATATTTAATAATAAGTCTCTGAATGATTATTTGGGAGTGGCTGCCAAGATAATGATAAACTCTGCCTACAATTTAGGCTGATTCTGAGAGCAAGTGTAATTGTTGAAGATGAGTACCACTAAATAGAAATCTGTCCTATGCTAGTGTAATAGGAAAGAAGTCTTGAGAGCAGTTTCCACCCATTGAAAGCTTCATCTTATTTTGAATAAAGAAAGCCTAAATTTAAAGTGCTCCCTGATTCTTGAGAGCAACTGCAACTGTGTGTTTCCCTTGAATCAACAAACAGACAAATACAAGCATTGACTAGAATCAGGCTGTGTCTGGAGCTGTGTAAGGAACAACAACTTAGTGGTGTTGTCCTTGTGGTACTTCAAGTATCACAAGATAGAGGACTGAGGTGGTCATACAGTACTGCTCCACAGTTTCTGAGAGCAATCGAGACCAGACAATATAGGTCAGCATTGATGTGCTTGCAAGGGTGCCCTAAAAGGACACTGTGTGCAGCCCTGAAAGTTAAGACTTCATTGCATGAGTGACCCTGGGATATTGTAGTTGTTGAAACCATGGGGCATCTGCTGAGTAAAGCTGCATGAATGGAATGAAGCTGGCTTTAGAAAGATGTATGTGTTACAGGAGGCAGAAATGGAGGGGGCAGGCTGCCTAGTTCCTAAAGAGTCTGGGTGACTGTAGCAAGCCCTAAGTATAGGACACGGAGCTTCAGGATTCGTTGTTTCCTCTGCTAGATTTTGGTTTTATTTTAGTATGATTATTCCTTGATAATCCCTAATTCTTCCCTTCTAGAATATGAAAGTGCATTCTATGTCATTTTACATTGGAACTATGTAACTTGTCTTTTGTTTTTGTTTGTTTGTTTTACTAGATCTCACAGTTAAAAATTTCCTTGGGTCTCAGATGACATTTGGACTTTGGACTTTGAAAAGGTGCTGGAATTGTTAAAGACCATTAGGACCTTTAAAGTCACTCTAAATGCAATTTTTTATTTTAAGATAATCATAACCTTATGGGATGAAGGGGTAGAAAATTATGATGGCTGAATGATGTTTTTGGAGTGTCAGTTTGACAAAGGGTAGACCTGTGATATTGTGCTGTCAATCTGACAAATTCTATAATCACATAGGAGACAAGTCCCCTGATCCATGTCTGAGGGATTATCTAAGTTAAGTTTCTCTGGGCATGCCCATTGGAGATTACCTTGGTTAGGTTAGTTGGTTTGGGAAGATCAACCCAGGTGGTGTGATATCATTTCAAAGGTTGATGTGATAACAAATCTTGGTTGTCAATTTAACAAACCTTGGAAAAAAATCTTAATTGAGAAATTGCCTCCAATATACTGGCCTACTGGGATATCTGTGGGGCATGTTATTGATTATTAATCGATGTAACAGAGCCCAGTCCATTGTAAGAGGCACTATTTCTAAGTAAAAGGGACTAAGTTGGATAAAAGAGATATGTAAGTGAATATGAACCTGGAGCTAGCGAGTCAACGACAGTTTTCTGTGGTCTCTACTTCAAGGTTCTGCCTTGACTTTTTTTTTTAATGATAGAATATAACCTACAAGATAAATTAAACCCTTCCTATTTCAAGTTACTTTTGGTCAGCGTTTTATCACAGCAGAAAGAAAACTAGACCAGCTGAGGACATGGACTATTTAAAAGGAGAAAATTATCTGGCTCAGTTAGGATTTCTATTGCTGTGATAAGACACCATGACCAAAAAAAGCAACTTGAGGAAGAAAAAGATTTATTTTAGCTTAAACTTCCACATCACAGTTGATCACTGTGGGGAAGTCAGGGCAGGACCCTAGAGGCAGGAGCTGATGCAGAGGCCATGGAGGAGTGATGCTTAGTGGGTTGCTCCTCATGGCTCACTTACTCTGTCCTCACACAGCACCCAGGACCACCAGCTCAGGGCCAGCACTGACCACAGTGAGCTGAGCCCTTCCAAATCAATCACCAATCATGAAAATTCTCCACAGGCCTGACCACAGGCCAACACGGTGGGGCAATTTTCTCAGCTGAGGTTCCCTCTTCCCAAATGTCTCCAGTTTGTGTCGAGTTGGAATGAAACTAGCCAACATAAGAGCTGAGCATGCACTGTGGCCATTGTTCTCAAATTTCTTATTGTGAATAAGATGACCAAGTGTTTTAAGTGTTTTCTACTTGGATTTCCTGACATGGCAGACTGTACCCTTGAACTGTGAGCTGAAATAAGTCCAATCTTCCTTGAGTGGCTTCTGTTGGGTTATTTGGTCACAGCAGCAGGAGAGGAAACGGAGAGAAATAGTATGGAAAACATTGATAATTTATGATGCCAACTGTGGTGGTTTAAAAAAAAATGGTCCCCCAAAGAGAATGGCTTTATTAGGAGGTGTGGCCTTATTGGGGTAGGTGTGATCTTGTTGGAGGAAATGTGTCACTGTGTAGGTGGGCTTTGAGGTCTCATATATGCACAAGCCACACCCAGTGAATCAGACCAGTTCCGGTTGCCTGTGAGATAAGATGTAGGCACTCTCAGCTTCTCTCTGGCACCATATCTGCCTGCATGCTACCTTGCTTCCTGGCACGTTGATAACGGACAAAGCATCTGAACTGGTAGCAAGTCACCACATCTGAATGTTTTTCTTTAAAACAGTTGCTGTGGTCATGGTGTCTCTTCACAGTGAGAGAAACCCTAACTAGGACATGGAATTGCTTAAAGAATTATGCAAGACAAATGCCTTTGATAGTCCTGATTCTCCACTGTGAGAGGTGACGAATTCGTGATCGCATGTGAAAACTTGAAACATCTCTGGACAACTAAGGAGAGTAAAGAAGCTGGCTGCTTGTTTCTCTGGATAAAGTAATGAAGGGAGAAAATAGCTAAGAAATGTAATTTCCCAGCTCCAGATGTGCATAAACAGTCTCAAGGCCTCTTAGTGTGTCCTGAGAATCTCCTTTCTAGCAGCCATAGAGCTGAAGCTGCTGAGAAATAAACACAGCCCTCGCCGTATCATTGTCTGTTACGGCGTAAATTGGAGCCTCAGCCTTTAAGAGACTCTGTAGCTACAGTGAGGGTACCAATGGGAAAAGAGAGGGCTCTATCATTTGGGATGGAGACGCATGGAAGGAGTCTGAAAAGGGTGAGGATACTGAATCCTCAGATTCTGGTTGCTTTGTTTTGCCCGAGGAAGTTGTCTTTCTACTCTAAGTGGCAGACAGATGCCCCCAGCCAGTCCTCACCACCATCTTCTAAAGTATCCCATTCTCCATGATTGATAATTTATTTTGCATTGTCCATGGAAACAGCAGTTACACTCCCTGAATTGGAAAACCAAGACAATCAATGCCCATCTCCTCAGGACCCGCTTTGACTACCCATATTTACCT